TTTTGAAGTCCTGTAATGCTTTCATTCTTTTGAATGGTTTTATACTTTTTTGTTATATTTGATATTGTGTGTGAAAGTAGGTCAACTATTTCAAAGAAAACAAGAGACATCATGGTAGCCACTGTTGATGTCCTATTGACTTGTTGTGAAGTGCTGTGTTGCTCACATTGTTCTGTTCTGATTTGCTTTGTTGTTTTGTTTCATTTTATTCGTTTAAAAAAATTTTGTTTAAGAATAAGATGGCTGCAGTCACACATATTTGTTCCTGTGTCTTTTATTCTAGTTCATTGGTCTATGTCTTTTTTTTGTGCCATTATCACGCTGTTTTTGTTACCACAGCTATGTAACTTTGTGATAACTCCAGTGTTGTTCAAGGTTCTTTAGTTATTCTGGGTTGTTTGGACTTCCGTATGAAATTTATGATTGTTTTTCCTTATTCTTTGAAGAGTGGCATTTGTATTTTAATGGAGACTGTACTGAATCAGCAGGTCATTATGTCCATTTGGTTGTATGTCCATTTTAACAATGTTAAATCTGTTGATCCATGAACAAGAAAAGTCTTTCCATCTTCTAGAGTTTTCAATTTCTTTCTTCAGTGTTGTCTAATTTTCATTATAGAGATCTTTCATCTCCTTGATTGGCCTTATTCCTAGGGTTGGGTTGGGTTGGGTTTTGTGGTGGAGGGAAGTGGCTGTTGTCAAAGTCATTGATTATTTTTCTGATTCTCAATGGGTTCATTATTGATGTACAGGAAAGCTTCTCATTTCTTTATAGTGACTTTGTATCCTGCCACTTTACTGGACTAATCAAATCTAAAAGTCCTTTGGTAGTTTTTAAGGTTTTCTAAGTAAAGGATTATACCACTTGCAAATAAGGGTAACTTTGCTTCTTTCTTTCCTATATGGATCTTTTTTATTACTTTCTCTTGTCTAATTGCTCTGACTAAACTTTCAAGTACTATATTGAACAATAGTAGTGAAAACAAACACCCTTTTTCTTGTTCCTGACTTCAGAGGAGATGCATTCAGTTTCTTTCCTATTTTGTGTAATCCTGGTTGTGGGTTTGTAATGTATAGATTTTATTATATTAAGGTAAGATCCTTCTATACCTCATTTCATCAGGGCTCCATGCTGAATTTTGTCAAAGCCTTTTTTTGTACTTACTGTGATAATTATGTGTTTTGCATCCTTGAATCTGTTTATCTGGTATATTGCATTTATTTATACATATGAACTCATTCTTCTATCCCTGGGATAAAACCAACTTAATTTAGTCATGGTGTATGTTCTTTTTAATATATTGTTAAATTCTGCTTGCAAGAATCTTAGTGAAGGGCTAGGGATTTCGCTCAGTGGCTCAAGCACTTGCCTGCCAAGTGCAAGGTCATGAGTTCAATCCCCAGTACCAAAAAAAAAAAAAAATCTTACTGAGGATTTTTCTATGTTCACAATGGATACTATCTGTAGTTCTGTCTTTTTTGGTGAAATATTTATCCAGTTTGGGTGTCAGGGAGACACTTGCTTTGTAGAATGAATTTGGAAGTATTTTCTAAGCATTTCTCTATTTCATGGAACAGTCTGAGGAACATTGATGTCAGTCCTCCTTTAGAGGTCTGATAAAATTCAATAATTTGTCTAGTTCTGGGATTTTTCTTGAAAGACATTTTATTAATGCTTCTTTTACTTCCTTAGTTAGATTAATTCCTAAGTATTTAATTTTTCTTGATGTTATGCTGAATGCAACTGTTTTGCAAATTTCTTTCTCAGTGGGTTTATCATTGTGGTTTGTGTGTGTATGTGCTGTATCTGTTGCTTTGGTTAGTCTGAATAAGGGCTAATCAATCTTGTTTATCTTTACAAAGAACCAATATTTTGTTTCATTGATCCTTTGTATTGTTAAAGTCTCCATTTCATTACTTCCACCTCTCACCTTTATTATTTCTTTTCTTCTATTAGTTTTGGATTTGGTTTGTTCTTTTGCTAGGACCTTGAGATGCATCATTAGGTTTATTTGAGAACTCTCAGTTATTGTGAACTGGTAGGATGCATGAGATTATTTCAGCTTTTTTGTACTGGTTACAACATGCTTTAAGGCCTTAAATATCATTTATTTTGGAGAAAGTTCCATGTGTTCCTGAAAGGAATGCATATTCCACTGGTGTTGTATGGAACATTCTAGCTAATATAATTAATGTTATATTTAATGTTAAATCCACTTAATCGATAGTGAATTTAACACTGATATTTACTTGTTTTTTGTCTAAATGCCCTATTTCTTTATGAGAATAAACTTATGCTGTCAACAATGACTATGCAGTTGTATATATGTGTCTGTCTGTCCCTTCATGTTGAGTAGTGTGTTGTAGTACGAAATTAGGTGCACCAACTTTCAGTGCATGTATATTCACAATCATATCTCTTTGGTGGATTGTTCCCTTTACTAAAATACAGGGAACTTGTCTATTTTAGGTAATTTTGACTTGAAGTCTGTATTGTCTGAGTAGTTACTTCTGCTTGCTTTCAGATAGATATAATTTCCATAAAATACTGTTCTCTATCTTTTTCCTTTTAGTCTATGTACTTCTTTGCTGGTGCGGTGAGTCTCTTATAGGCAACATGTTGTTGGGTCTTGCTTTTCAATCTAATCTGCTGTCTATATCTTTTATTAGAGAATCAAAATCATCTACATTCAGGGTTATTACTGGAAGGTATTTATGTACTAACTGCTGCCATTATGCTATTTTTCTTATGTTGGATTCTTTCCTAATTCTCATTTGTTAGTATATTCTTCCCTTCTTGTTTGTAGTGTTCTTTTTAAGTATCTTCTGTAATACTGTCATGGCCTTAGTAGCCATGAATTACTTTATCTTCTACTTATCTTGGAAGGTTGTTATTTATCCTTTAATTCTGAAGAAGATTTTCATGCTTTCCTGGCTATTAGTTTCTGCTGATACCTGCTGTTATTGGGGTTTGCCTTTATAAATAATTCAGTGTTTTTTTCTCCTGTAATTTTCAGTGTTCTTTCTTTTTTCTGTAGTTTTGGCATTTGCACTATACCATAACGTGGAAAGTTTTTTTTTTTTTTTTTGATCATGTCTATTTATGGTTCTAAATGCCTCCTGTACCTGAATGCCCATATCTTTCTCAAATTTTTAAAAAAATTTCTGCTATTATTTCACTGAATAGATTTTCTATGGCTTTAATCTATATTTCAAATTCCTTTTATAGGCCAGAGACTCTTAGCTTTGTTTTTAAATCATATACTAGAAGTCTTGTATTATTCTTTTCATACATTCTCTGTGATCTCCATGCTCTGAAAAACCCCAGGCCTCCCATTGCTAATCACCCACTCTCCTATTTTCACTCCAGAAGGGGACCAATCTCACTCTGGCCCAATCAGCAACCTTCTCTGCTATATGGTAGTCAAACGATATCTTCTCCAGTGAGATATAAAAGCTTCCAAAGTGGGTCCTTCCATGGATAGAGAATTTCCTTATATCTTATAGCTATACCTTTTCATACTGAACAATTTTTGTGTTAAACTTCATCTTTTTAATCTACCACATGGTTAGCTGGGCGTAGTGGCTCATGCCTGTAATCCCAGCACTTGGGAGGCTGAGGCAGGAGGATCATTGTGAGTTCCAGACCAGCCTGGACTACAAAGTAAGCTCAAGGCCAGCCTGAACTGCATAGTGAGACCGTGTCTCAAAAAGACAAAAAAAAAAAACTCTACCACATGGTTTATCTACCTATTTCTAGGTAGGACTAGAAATACGACACCTATTTGTCTCAAAAAAGCTAAATATATCCATTAGTATATCTACCTTTCCACTGACAATTTCCTCAAAAATTCACTATTTCTTTCCTATCTCCTGACCATTCTCAATCCCTAACCTCTCCAACAGAAAAGGTTTGGTGGCAATCTTAGATTTATCCTGTATACCCTTCTTGAAAACACCATTTTATTTGTCAAGAACATTTATAGGCTGTCTCCTTCATATCACATAGAAGATGAGTTCTTTCCCTAACATGTAAAGGCCCCCCATAGTCTGGCATCATCTGGCTGGCCCAGCCCCATTGCTTTTTTCTCCACAGAATCAGGTGTTCTGTCTTCACAAGGCCTAATTTTCATTACCACATCCGTGTTCATGATCTTTCCCCTCTTTGCCCAATTATACTAGAGGTTTCTAGGGCCAATTCTAAAAGCTTCTAGTCCTCACATTCTTTTGTGGTTAATTCTCCCTATACTTCTGTCTGTTATGTCCTCAACACATAGTAAGTACTTAATATTGTTTTAATTCTCTAAATGATAACATCTTCCAAAGCAAAACCCTGTGATACTCTTTCTTACTAATTTATGTGTCCATGAGGTACTACCCTAACTTGTTTATACTTCTGCTCATATTTCTTATATATAAGCCTTTGCACAGTAGCATGCTTAATATTACATGAAGGTAAAACCAGATTAAGTTAAATGGTCTTAATTCAAACTAACAGCTACATAGATAACCACAGCTAAACCATGTAGAACATTTCTACATATTAGAGAAAGGTACCCTTTCTTGCAGGTAGACACAGCTTCACATCTAGCTGCACAGCTTGACAAATGGTGATCAGACAGGATTTTGCCTCAATGCCAATGCAAACATTCACAGAAACACTAAATACAGGAATACAGTGCTGACTTTATTAAGAGTCTAACAGTATTACAGAAAAGGTTCACAGAAGTCTCTTGACTTTTTTTAGAATTTTATTCTAATTATGTAACAAGACAAAGTCTCATCAGTTGAAATTAAGTTAGCTAAATGGCAAATGTAAGGGTGCAGTAGCCATTATGATGAAATTTCTGTTCATAACCAATACTAACTGATTACCTAACTCTATGCTAGATGATTGAACTAAGTCTAGAGAAACCAACAAATCAGGTAACCACATGGATTCATGATATTTATGATATGTTCTATTTTAGAAGAATGTTGTTTTCCTAATGTTATACTTACTGATAAACTTGTTTTGCATAGTCTCCAACAGAGCTTGGTGAGCATCTTCAGCTTGTAAAGCATGTGAACACTCTCTGGCCAGTATGGTGCGCACCAGATGTTCTCCACATCCTAGAAGTCCAAGGAAATCAGCAGTGGTTGAGGAAAAGCATACCAAACACCCTGCTTGTTTTACTAGTATTAAAATACTACTGTGCATCACTTAGTAAGTAGGTATATGAAGAACAACTCAGCGAGGGATGAAATGACTTCTGTGAACAACTGGATAATTTTAGTAATGAGATTTGGCAGAAACTAAAGAATCTCAAAAGGAAAACAAGAAAAACAAAATAAATCCTTTTCTCAGAAATAATTTCCATAATAAAGGAATGCAAATTCTCTACCTAGGAATTTTCTAGGGTTCTGTCTCTCCTTTCCATGACTAGGTAACTAAGAGTGATACTTTTTTTTTTTCAATTTATTTGCATTCAGTTGACTTTAGTCTTTCAGTCAGTAAATGGCCACCCACAACCACCAACCATTTCTCCTTTAGCAACCTACTTGCCTGGGCACTGTGGAGAAAGGAAGGTAACCAATGGGCAATAGAGACTCTCTTTCCACCTACTTTTCACCTTAGTGTCACTTTTAACAGTTCTGGGTGGTACAATAGAAAATAGCATTTTTCTCACCTTACAATAACTTACAGCTTTCAAGATAAAAATTCTAGTTCTAATGAAAAAGTGTGTTTTAAACCTGAGGTGAACTTGAACTATTCAGACACACTAAGTTAGGGTAGGCTCAGGGGTGGGATGCAGGGACTGGTGTGTGCCCTCTAAAATTCCACCATGGTTTCTATGTTAAAAGTAGAAACTACCTATAAAAGGAGAGACAAAGGAATTTCAATTTATAGATTGATGAATATTAATTAAAAATTTCTGAAGAAAAGGCCTTCCTTTAACTTAGAAATACAAAACTTGAAAAGGCTACTTTCAGAAACAAGACTTTAAAAAAAAAATGCTGAATGCCACTTAACATCAATATCACTAAATAAAAAGTCAGCATTCTTTTACCCAAACAATAGACATACAAGATCTTTACAAAGATTCTCTCATTTAAAATGCTTTTTCATTATAAATGATTCCTCCCAAAAGTGTTGTTACATATTTATAAAACTCAGGTTTTAAAAAGCCAGTGTATATTTTGCTATAAATAACAGGCAAATATAAATGTAAACATTTACAATATCTAAATATCTCTGTAAATATCTACATTTCAAAGAAGATCTAACAGTAATTTAATATACAACTTTGTGGGCAGAATTATAGCAATCCCTATTTTGTTAATTTTTGCAATATAATTTTTATAATCAGAATAAAAATACTAATGAAGGTAATAGGAAAAAATGCTTTAACACTTACTACGTAGAGACACTGAACTAAGCTCATAAAACTACACAAATGTTAAACCAGACATGGTGGCACACCCCTGTAATCCCAGCGGAGGCTGAGGCAGGAAGACTGCTATGAGTTCAAGGCCAGTCTAAAACTTGGTGAGACCCTGTCTTGGAGGGGAAAAAAAAAACTTCCCCAATGTTAATCCCTTTTGCACATATTTAATGTTGACCAGTGAAAAATTATACTTTAGGACAATAATAATTCTCAGGAAATTGGCATAGTAGAAGCTAAATGAATATCCAGAAGGTTATATATACATGTCTCAAATCAAACAGTTAAACCACACCAAGATAACATTACATTAAAAATACACAATGTGTCAGGAAGATTTTTCCTCTGTTATATGAGAATATATAGAGCTTTCCCAATGATTGACTTTTACTGAGAAACTCTTAACATTATGATTTATGTTCCATGACATATATTACTTTCAACATAAATGCCATGACATCAAAAGCTTGTTCTTCTAAAGCTTCCATTCAAAGAAAACTTGATTTCTGTGGTTTTAGGTAAAACCACAAAATTCCAAGGTTTTTTAGTATATGTTACCAGAGAGTTGAAGTGTGATTCAAAGGCAAATAGTCCTATTCTCTATTCACAACACTAGCAATAAATCTTTTGTTGTATCCTCTTTTTGTCCTTACCTATACAAGTTAAGAGCATGTTTGGGTTCTTAGATCTTAGCAGAAATCTATAATGGATTATATATTATAATCTATATGGATTATATAGAACAAAGATCTGAAAACAAACCTAGAAAAAATTAATAACAAGCTCTGAAAGAATTTTTCAAAGTGCACATTTGTTTGCCACCAATGAGTGACAAATGACTGGACTGCAACACATAGTAAATTCATAACGTCATGGTTTTAAAAACAGTCATCTTTGAAAGATGGCATGGAATCTATTCACGATTCTGAAAACTTATAAATGAAAGGAAACAATGAAGTATCTCTCTATCCTTCCTGTAAAAAATACATTGCTAAGTTACCAAATGATTTGTAAAATATTTTCTATAGAAATATCCAAGGTAATACACTGAGAAATCAATAAAATTGGAATGATTATAAACAAAAATAGCTGCTAATATCACAAAAAGGTTTAACTAGATATTATGTGCCTCTTGATAAACTGAACTTATCTAGTCTTGCCCACTACCAATTATATATGAATCTGATCACGACTCTAAATTACCAGTTTTAAGAAATAAAGAGCATCTGCAAAAATCCTATAGTTAACATCATACTTTTTGATGAAAACCTCAATTGGTTTTCCTTCAGATTAGTAACAAGGCAATTATATCTGTTTTCATCACTTCTCTTCAACAATATACCGGCATTTCAAGTCACTGAAATAAGGGAAGAAAAAGAAATAAAAATCAGAAAAGAAAAAATAAAACTGCTCCTCTTTGCAGATGACAAAATTACTTATGTAGGAAATCCTTGAGGGATTTCTCCACATTGTTCCCATCAAATTGGAGTCTAAGACAAAGATTAGCTACAGACACACGCTTGGTATCTACCAGTGTCTCCTTTCCCCATCCACTTATTCACCAGTCTGTTACTGAGCTCCTCTTTTGTGCTAGGCCCTGAGTACACAGTTGTCAGAAGGGTGCTTCTGCATACTGTCAGACTTCCCCAGAGATGTCAGACCCTGCTTGGGCACTGAATGCTCACACAACTGTCATTCTCACCAGTCCAGATGCCAAAGCTTGGCTGTGTATCTGACAGAACAAGTTCTGGGATTCAGATGAGAATCCTAGACTCAGCAGGAAGACTGCACATCTTGAGAGACAACCTCCATAGCTAGGTCATCTCTAGTCAACCACAATCCTTAGCCCAGCTTCGAGTCACTCTTAACCAGTGTACTTCCTTTGCTAAGATATCAGTGTGTTCCATGTCCTCTCAGGGGAATCTAAACTTCTACAACCCATACTGAAGGTGAACACCCAATACAAATTACCACCCCACCCATACGCACACTCCCATAAGAATGAGCAAATATAAAAAAAAGAAACACAAACAGGATTATTATATCAAGAAGTACGAAAAATGGGGCTGGGGATTTAGCTCAACGGCATAAGCACCTGCCTTACAAGCAGGCAGTCGTGAGTTCGATCCCCCGTACCGATAAAAAGACAAAAAAAAAAAAAAAAAAAGAAGTACAAAAAATAAAAGAGGTCTATTATTATTAAACTTTTTCTGTAATGAGCCAAACGGTATTTTATGTTTTGCAGGCTACATGTGATCTTTGTCTATCAAATCCCCCTTATACTTGTACACACCTATGAAATTTAATAAAGTTATTCTCAGCTAATGGGCCATACAAAAACAAGCCATGGACCAGCTTCAAGCCCATATTCCATTGTTTCCCTATAACAACAACCTGTAATACAAAAGAAGAAAGGAAAGCAGATTATGACTTTACAACAGCACAACCTGGGAGGGAGAAGGAAAGAAAAGGTATGGAAATTTTTCAAGACACTAGATAAAGCTTTTCAAATTAAAAATACTATTTAAAACTCAATATACACCAAGCATCTCAAAAGGAAAGACTGCACATCTTGAGAGACGATCTCAAGACGGCAATTCGAGAGGAAAAACTGAAAGACAGATGTTAAAAAAAATACTAAGAAGCAGTCTAGAATGATAAAGAAAAGAAAAATGAGGAGTTATGAGACCGGATGTGTAAAATAAGAATCTCCAATGCATTAACAGGCATTAAAAAGAGAGAAAAGACAATTGGAAAAGAGACCACTAAATATATGAAAAGATGAGTAACACTAATCCAGAATTTAGTTGTAAGTAAATCCTAAAACTGAGGATCCATGCAGAGTTTTAAAAAACAAAAACGAATGCATCTTTAGGTGTACAGTAGTGAACTAAAGACAGCAAGAAAAATATTAAAAACCAACCATAATGAAAAAATAATCCACAAAGAAATATAAAATTTTAAAACTTAAACTGATAGTTCAATATTACCAAATAAAAAGTCAGACAACCAAGCTACAAGAAGCTAAAGCAAAAGAGAAACATCCAAAACCTCGTCAACCTAGAATTCTAAAGTGAGGGTGAATACAGATAGTTTCAGGAACATTAGATTTTGACTCGACCCACTTCTGTTCTGTCCAGCACTACTACTCCCCATCACTCCTGATGATTTCAACCTCTCACCACAAGATTCTCCCAGTATCTTAGCTTCTAGCTCCTCTAACACCCTCTCTCAAGTTACCCGAACTATCTCATAAACACACGCCGGTAACCAGCAGTCACAGTAATGCTAACTGCTCTGTAGTCTCAACCTCAATCAGCCAACTGCTGCCATGTTCTTGGCCTGCCCCTGAGCAATCCGGTCCAACCTTCCCTGCCCCTTGCCAAAAACTCCCACTTTTTAATTTGCTGCTTTTTAACTATTCCTCTCCCTCTGTGGGTCCTCACTCTGTTCTCCTCAGCCAGAATTCCGGGATGCAGCAATTTATATCCATTCCCTCACTCCTGAAAGCATCTGTTTCTCTCACTTCATCAGCCTTGTCTGGCCCAATCTCACCTTGAAGCATCAGTCAGAACAGCTACACTGGGTAGCAAAAACAAACAACCCCAAATCTCAGTGACTAAACCAAAATATAATTCTGGTGGTTATGAGTTTTATCTGGGTCATTTGGGAGATCAGCTCCACATA